CGCGGGGTGACCTACCATCCAGGGGGGACTTCTCCTCTGCGTTCTTGTCCTCCTCGGCCAGCATGACTTCCTCTGCGGGAGACACAGCCACACGGCCTCAGGGCGAGCCTGCCCCGCCCCCACAGCCCCCACCACGCACCTGTGCACGTGTGGCCACCGTGGGGAGGAAGTGCTACCGGGGTGACCTACCATCCAGGGGGGACTTCTCCTCCGCGTTCTTGTCCTCCTCGGCCAGCATGACTTCCTCCGGGAGACACTTCCACCGGAACAGACACCCTGTGTCCCCCAGGCCGGGGCCGGGACAGGGAGCCAACAGGCCAGGCGCCAGGCAGCGCTCACCGGCCTTGAAGATCCACTCCAGGTAGCCGTTAAGCTCCCGCTCGATCTGCTGCTGCCGCCGCAGCTTCAGGAAGGCCCGGCGGTTCTCCACCCGCTCGCGCTCCTTGGCGAACTCCCTGTGACGCGGGTGACAGAGCACAGCTCAGGTCCCCGCGGGCAGGGACCAGGGAGGGGCTGCCACAGGAAGCCCACCGCCTGGCCTCTGACCTGAGCATGCAGAGGGCACAGCCAACCCTCCTGCTCAGACACCCACACACAGGTGACAGCACCTCGGTCCCCGGAGGGGGCTCTGGGGGGGCACGGACCAGCCACATCCCCTGCTGAGGGCCGGCCTGCCCCTCCCTCCACCAGCCAGGCCCTGTCGCTGTCACCCAGGAAGCCCCGGGACGAGGATTCCCCAGAGGAGACGCCCCCTGGTTCCTCTGCGGCTCGAGAGGAGGGAGGAGGAGCTGGGTCAGGACAGGCCAGGGACAGGACGAAGGGAAGCATTCGAGTCCATCAGCCAACACGGAGGCTCTGAGCGAGCGGGGAGCTCACCGGCCTCCCCAGGCCCAGCCGGGCTCTCAGGCTCACAGCACCGGGAGGCCATCCGCACCCACACGCTCACACGAGCACGCGCCCATCCAGTCTGGCCGAGCTTTCTCAGCTCAGGCTCAGGGCAGGATCCAGGTCCACAAAGTGTGGGCAGGCCCCCCCACGGCCAAGAGCATGCTGTCCTCAGCGGGAGGCTGTCTCTCTTCCAGGAAAGCGGCTCTGGACACGGTGGCGTCTGCCAGGCCTGGTCCTGGCACCCAGCCACAGAGAGGGAGGCGTGGCTCTGCCCAGACCTGACCTCTCGCCTGCGGCCCGCGCCGGCCAGGGCCTGAGCTGCGGCATCCGGCAGGAGAGGAAAGAGCTCCTGCCTGAGCTCCCCCCAAGTTCTGAGTCACAGAACACAGGGTCCCCAGGGCAGGAGGGCAGGAGGGCCTGGGGCAGGGCCAGGGCCATGACAGTACTGCAGACTCAGCGACAGCCACCAGCAGGGACTCGCTGCGCCACCAGGCCTGCCCTCCTCCAGCTGCAGTTCTCAGCGGAGGAATCACCAACTGCTTCACTGGGTGCAGGGCGGATGCCCGGGCGGAGGAGGAACAGGTGAACGGGCCTCACGCCAGTCCTCCTTCCGGCAGCTTCCCCCCCAGGCACGCTGCAGCTGCACCAGGTCCTGCAGGCCGAGCCCCCCTCCCCCAGTCCAGGCTGTGGGTGGCACCTAATGCCGCTGCCTTGGCGAGCACCCCGTGAGGGACCCACACGCTCCACCTGGCCGCTGGCTTCAGGGCCCCCCCGCGGGGCTGGAAGAGAAGCTGGGTCCCCTGGCTGGACCTGGACACTGGAGAGGGCGCAGCCAAGACGAGGACAATCCCCCAGAGGCCAGGATGCTCCCGCCCACCCTCCTCCTGTACAGTCTCCATCGGGGCTGCTCGCAGCCGCCACCACCCAGTGCGACCAGGACTTCTACCCCGTGTCCAGTGCTCTGGGCCTGCAAACACGTGCCAGTGCCAAGCACGTCCCTCACAGGAGAGGCCCAGGCCAGGGCCGGGTCCGAGCCAGAGTGCGCAGGCCTGGGCCACCACGGTCCCCTCGGTGGTGGTTCCTCTCCAGGCCAGAATGACAGCTGCCCCTGAGCCCCAGGCCTGAACGGAACCCTCCGGTGGGCAGGACAGAGACCTTCTCCAGCCGCATGGGGGCTGACGCCAGGTGGGGGCAGGGAGGCAGCCAGGCCGCGTGCAGCAGGGTCCTGTGTGCCCCAGGCGTGCTCCCGCTCACCCCGCGTGAGTCAAGAAGCACCTTCCCTGAGGAAGGACCCAGCCTCATGCCTCCTTGTCCTCCCCAGGCGCGGCGGAGAGGTGATGGTCAGGGCTGGCTGAGAGCCCAGGAGTCACTGTGACCGACTCAGGGCTGCTCCATTCTTTCTGGTCACTGCTGTTGCCCCAAACTCACCAGGGACCCCGTCAGAGACAGCAGCAGCCCCTCCCCGCAGTCAGGGCCCAGGGTGAAGGCCAGGGAAGGGGACGGTCAGAAGAGGTCAGGATGGCAGCACAGAGAGAAGCTGGCCAGTGCTCAGGATGCTGGGAGTGCCTGCCCGCACGCAGGGCAGCCCTGTGGCCAGGCCTAACCCCGCCCCGCCCCCGGGTCACACAGGCCTGTGTCCGCACCATCACCCAAGCACACGCAGGGGCAGCGCCAGCCGTCGCGGCTCTTACCCTGAGAGCACGCCCAGCACCAGGTTGAGCATGAAGAAGGAGCCGATGATGATGAGGGGGATGAAGTACAGCCAGTTCCAGGTGTTGCCGGCAGCATCGTTTGTCTGGAAGCAAGAGGAGATGAGGAAGGACAGGGACAAGACGGGGTCCT